TTGATGTGACCTGTTATGCATCAGTACTGATCGCAAAATCTCATCTATACCCACTTACGCTTCGCAAGTAACTGAAGATCGCCGACAGTATGGTATCAGGTGGCGGCACTTCGGGGTACAATGCGTTATGAACACTGTCGCTACGCTTGAGAACTTCACGATACAAGTACTCGCTGAAATGAGGGGCTCTATAACAAGTTAGAACGTGCTGTGACCGGTGGTTAAGGGATAGCGCACATAGGAGTCAATTGTAGAGCTTGTAACTCGATGTATCGCATTACAAGATCACGATGCATGCTGATGCCTACAGACTTGGTAACGTCTCGGTACCAGTCTCGAGATGCGATCTGGACTTCCCGTTAGTATTGGAATATCGTCAAGACCTTCCTTTACTCACGAAGTCATAGAAGCCTGACTTAAGAGCAAGCTTGAACGAGGTGTCATTGTAGAATGATTTGGTCTGAGCGACTAGGATGTTCATCTCGTTCAAGAACAGCTTGTCAAAGAGACCCAAGTCGCCGGTTCTGAGCTCGGAATCATTGGCGGATTCTTGACACCATTTCCTGAGCTCATAAAGTCGAAGAATTGTTGCATTAGCGACGGTCTCTTCGAGATTGGCGTCTTCGATTCCGTCACCGCCATCTGCTAGAGAGCTGTTTCAAGATCAAAAGTCAGCATGGCCTATTCTTAGCAACAGACGCAAAGACTATGAGAGTATGACCAGCGCGAAGAAGGAAAGTTTCCCTAGATCAGCAGAAGTTTGTCCCTATGCTTCGCTGACATCGGAAGTAGGAACTCTAAGCACTCACATTCTCGTAGCGTCAGCTCCATATTTTTCGACAGCATCTCGTAGGGTCAAGAAGTTGCCCGTGCTCTTAGACATCTTTTCGCCGTTCAACATGAGATGTCCATTCACTCTAATTCCACGTGGCCAATAGGGTTCATCGAAGAGAGCGACATGGTGATACAGGCAAAACATTAGACTTTCGCATCAGAAGTCAGTGACAATTACCTAGCAGCACCAAAACTGCAGAGAAATAAAGAAGCTACAAACCGTTTTTCCACAGGGTCACTTACTGGTTGTTGATCAAATCCTTGCCCGAAATACGCACGTCCAAGGGGTACCAGTATGAAAATTCGCGTCTCATAGCATCGAGGTCGGAACGAGGTATATCGCTGTCGACGTTGTCTGTCCTTTTAAAGACATAATCCCAGACAGCTTCCGTCATTTGTGAGGGAGATATGGGTTTAGATGACAAGCCGGGAACTTTTCCGTATATACTATATTTCTGTGTCAGGAACCGCTCAACATACAAACGTTCAGAAATATCAGGTATTATATGCCTTGTGTAGCAAAGTGACCCTGAGCACAAGGTTTGGACCTTTAAAATATATTTGAATTAGAAGGGGAAATGTTATTATACTCACTCCCCGTGAAGATAATGGCAGACTGTGTAATAAGCCATATATATCGACGAATCCTGTGAAGATAAGTAAGACATTGACTGAGAAATATCTTGATTCAACTTACAGACAACGACTCCACAAGCTGGGTGTGATCCCAGGGAAGTTTTGTACCCTTCAGAGCATTAATAGTCATCCATGAGATTATCAAGACTTCTTACCAGTCCAAACGACCGGGAACAAGCCCATTGTGCTAGCCTAGGATATTTTTTAGTGATCGTTGAGATATTGCAGGAATATGGGGCATACCAATTCAATGCCTGCTTCATCGCGTGTTTTCCCTCTGGGAAGAAGCAATTGGTCCGATCCGTCTCAATTGCAGTGATCGCATCTTCATACCACTTTTGATCGCCCCCATTCTCGGCAGATCCTAAGGCTATCAGTGATTGGCGGAGAGAATAACCTATGTAACTTACCGTAATTGAAATACCATTGATCGAGGTATGCCTTCATGTACATTAGTTTATTTACTAAAAGGTCGTGGTCCAACATACCGCAACGCACTCATCGCCGGATCGCTATAGTATTTTGGAATTAGTTAATTGTTTGAAAAGATGAATAGTAATTTTATAGAGATTCCTTACGCTGACAACGAGCCCATCTGGCTCACCATAATTAAAAGCCACACCGGCATCTATCATCTGTTTTCTCACTAGTGGCTTTGCTTCCTGCACAGGCATTCCCTTGAAGTCGCCATAAAGCATAACACCATTGTAGAAGCCTTCTTTGTATGCGATTTCTTTCGCCTCGGGTAATTTTTGGTCTTTGGGTGAGTTGATTTTCATCGTTTCGTAAAGATGCTTCGCAATCCTGAAAATGGTTAGCAATATCAGATTGGTAGATACTTTGCATGGCGACACTTACAAATTTGAACTGGGGGTCTGAATGATAGGCAGAATCTCCTCTATCACCCACTCTTTCTTGATTCCATAAAATTCTGGCTTCTTCAAGAGGTCCAGTGTAGTAGCATAATCGTCCGGGCTGTCAGATGGGACACATGTAACTACTCCAGTTCCTTTCGTTGGTTTTATAGTTGACATTGGCAGGATCCTGATGCCTTTTTCGTGGATTGAGAATGGTGCATGGACAAGGGTTCCGATAACATCAGAACCTTTTAGGCCAACGACCTGATGATACTCGCCCCATGGTGAAAAGATGCCCTGGAATGCCATCTACTGTGTGTTAACCAAAACTGTGAAGCGCTTCTCGCTGGGGTCTCCCAGGGGACTCCTCTAGACCTCGATATTAACAGAAACTCTATGTACTTACTACACAAAATAGTTAGTAGGGGCCACTACAGATTATTCGTGAAGAAAAAGACTTAGGTCCGGGACGACTGTTCTCATACGTACCATTTCTAGCAGAGCGCTCACTACAGAAGAAATATTCATCTTTTCCTCCCTCTTTCGGCACTCGAAAGATACCATAGTCAACTGTCGGTCCCACAAAACAACATGTCTAATTGAAAAGAAGTTAGTAACTGCTTTTAATAGATACGAACTTCAATCGAAAGAATAAACTCTTAGGTTAGTAACTCTAGTTGCTGATGGACGCAGGACTACAGAAATCCCAATACTTACTTGACCATACATTGTTTCCGCGCGAAGTGAAGCAGGTATGAAGTAAACATTTGCATCTGCAGGGATCTTGTCACCGATGACCTCTTTAGCCTTTTCGCACCATTCGAGTGCCTTCAGCTTCACAGCAATGTATTCTTGGACGGCAATACCCTCTCCACTACTTCGATCATGATCCAAGCACGCCTGACCATCTTTGGGCGAATATACGGTAAAGCGCTTTCCGAACTTGATCTTTTTGAGGGCTTTTAGATTGTTCATCTGCCAGCTTACGAAAGAGTTGTAGAATGGATTCGCATCGGTTGTAACAAAGGATCTTCGCCAGTCCACACGGGCGCCGACTCTCCTGAGATCTGCCTCGCAAAGTTGAGGGAAGACATGCAGCCAATGATACGGGTCGGCAAACTTGTGGATCTCTTCGACCGGAATACCCAGAGATAACATGATCTGCGTTATTGTCAACCTGTGCTCGCCAGATCGACGCGTAATTCGGGCCACAAACCTCGTACTGATACTTGGCCTTGCCCGATTTAGCGGCGACCTTGCTCTTACTTCCACTGAATTTGCTGATATCAGTCTTGCTCGTGTTGGACGTCTCGGTGATCGACAACTGCTCGAGCTCGGCGGAGGGTGCGTTCTCGAAGTTCTGGCCAAACAACTCGGTTTCCCGCTTAAGCTTATCGGCTGCAGCCTTGATGGGCATACCCGTACAATGGTAACCTTGAGGGAACAGAGCCCTTCGGCCTTGCATGCGCGCGAATCCCGTCATAAATTCGACTCTGTAGGTGACAAAAGCTCAATCAGAATCTATCACCCTCATTGCGGTGGAAGTAACTGCACTTACTTGGACCAGGTGAAAGCATGGCCAGCATGAAGAGTACCTGAGACGGATTAGACTTAGCTGTTCAACGCCATTCTCCGATCATCTAGAGACCCACCATTCATGTACTATTTCAAGCCAGGCGTCAGTAAATATCATAGCAGAAGAACTTTCGTCAAGGCCCCATGGATATGAGAGATAGTGGACGTCTTGGGTATGCGTACTGGATAAGCCATTGTCGCGAAGAACTTGGGCGGCTTCGATTCATCAGCTGCCGGGGCATTCTGCTGGAAGAGTTTGGCATCATCCCATTCCTTCTGGTATCGCAGCTCGTCGGCGATTAGAGTGTCGCGTTTCTCAGTCTGTCAGATGAGCAGGTTAGTCGGCTGGGTACGGCGGGGGGAAGTGGAGGGCAGGTGTCGTCGCACGTTTTCCATCTTGGGAACGACCTTAGTGGCCGCATTTTGGTCTGTCGTCGCCATCTTGTCGCGCGGTTAGACTAACAGATGAGAAAAAGGCGGCGATACCAAGTCCGACTCATACAACTTGATGGTAACTCGAAAAAAACCTGTGACTCTTTCGAGGTGGGATGAGTGGGGCAGTCCCTTCGAGTACCTGTAGCCATTGGCACTAATGGCGGGGTAAATAGGTACACAGCTACTCTGTCTAGACCCTTCATCAAGTAGGTACCTCCTTTGCACAGAGTGGTGGCAGTGCTGGTGCTTCAGGCCATTTACTTGGAATTCATTACAAGAATATACATATTGCCAGGGGTATCCAGACATGACATGTAGCCCGATGTCGGCTTCTAAAGTTCATGGCGAAGAAAAGAAAAAGAACCCCGCGGCCAAATTACAGTATGATCTATTATTCTTTGCTTAAAGTAATCCATCAATGACAAGATTTCATCTTTAGTGATTGTTATGATTATCTTATAACTCCTAGCTCTTTTGAGCAGGGAAACTTTTTAAAAAAGAAAAAAAAAAAAAAGGATGTTAGCTTATAAACCCCCCATAGCGTCATTGCAGCACCTTGTAGTGTGAGGTCATAGTGGGCCTGGTACTTGATATAGTCCATTAACTTATGGTAAGGCAAAGAGGGGTGATACACCAAAAGAAGCAAATATGAATAAAAAACATCTCCGAATCGGGGAATCGAACCCCGGGCTTGACGGCACTTTTCCATATCTCAACCTCTGAAGTGAGGAAAGAGCACAGTTGAGAGCGTCAAATGTTAGCCACTACACCAATTCGGAAGGTTGCTGACAGCATGAATCGAACATGCGTTTGCTCGGCCACAACGAGCTGTACTAACCACTATACGATGCCAGCGTAGGTTTGGAAGAATCCATGCATCAGCCGTGAATCGAACACGGGGCCCATCGATGGCAACGATGGATTTTACCACTAAACCACTGATGCTGGTTGTTGAGGTTAGCTGCCCTACACCCCCACTATACTCGCCCGGCGTAGAAGGTGGGTACCCCTTACTCACAATTTCACTATGTGCATCCAGCACATGCTCAATTACTGTAGTTGCGACCGTTCCTTCATTTATACTAATAAAGTTAGCTATATATTGCTATTTCTTGACGTTAGTCCGGGCATTGGTTAGAGACTCGAGAGATCTCCCTTGTCCAATTGTCTGGACCTCGGGTTGTTACTTGGCTAACTGCGGAGGCTCACTTCCAAACTAATCGCCGACTCATCATCACGACTCGTCCGCGTTATGTAACTCGAAACTGGACCAGCTATAAAACAACCGAGTCTCCTACAGGGTGTCATTATACAGGAGTGTATAGAATCAGAGAAGAATCTATTCGTTTCAAAGCGCGATCCTCATCCAACATACCGATAGTTTCCCTAATCACCGCCACGGAGTCAACCAGACCACGTGACGGCCTCACTTCTAGCACTACCTTTGCGATTTACAGGTCCATGGCGCAACTTGACGAATGATAGATGCAATCTTCATGAACTAGGCAAGCTATTGAAATACGCCAGCTAGTCACCGCGAACCCAGACTTCTGAGTTCCTAGGGACTAGAGTTAGTAATACTCATGCAAACCCTATTCTATCTTTCTAGTTAACTCACTATTTCCTCGACATGAGGCAGTCTCCTGGCAGACGAGACGTGGGAGCTGGGACAGAAACTTGTCAAATCTCACACCCTGGCTAGGCAAATACTGTCTACCAGACCCGTTGACTACTATCATTTTCTCATCTTATAGAATTCATAAGGGACGCTGCGCTAAGTATGGTAACCTCGCTAGATTTCAGCACTCGCACTACTCTTCTCAACGACTAACGATACTATGCGATACTTATGCTTGACTTTTGGTCGCTTCAGAGACGAAGCATAAGCTATAATAGGTCAATTGACATTCGCTTAGCCAGCTGACTAGAGACGGCTATCATCAGCTGAAAATGACACGAAGGATTTCTTTGTGGAGTGCATCCTTAGTCTTCAATCCATGTGCTAGTGAAGATACGGCTAGTCACTAACATATCTTGGCAGGTGAGACTTGAAAACCATAATGAATGAATGAATATGACTCCGCCGAGGAGGTTTATCTCACGATCATCTCATTAGCATCTTGCTTACTGACGTCGTCACCTTGTCCTTTCATCGAGGGTCAAATATCACAACCCCTTCTGATCATGAGTTGAATTGTTCTCCCTTGCTTACCTACCATTCTCTCACTCTCTATATCCTACCAGTGTACTATTCTTGTCATGACATCGAGATGGCTCAGCGTCACGCTTGGGGCGCTCCATTTCAATGGTGCTTGTGCCTCAAGTCTTCCGTGTGACGTGGCCAGTTTCGATTCAATCTTAAAATCCTTGAATAGCCATGCAACTACAGTTTACGCGACGAGAATCCCAGCAGGCGGATCTTCATTTGATCCCAGCCCAGAGTATCCTACCAATGCCACCAACTTGCCGGAGCTATGCGCTGTCAAGCTTAATGTCAAGTCATCCGACAGTACTTCTTATAACGCGGGGATTCTTCTTCCTGCCCATGATCACTGGAATAATCGACTGATGACCACCGGAAACGGCGGGTTTGGAGGAGGTATTAACGTAAGCTTCACCTACTTAAGTGTTTGGGGTCACAACTAACAACTAGCAGTATCTTGACATGGGCGAATATACTCATTATGGGTTTGCGACTGTATCAACAGACACTGGTCATCTTTCGGATATTGAAGACAGTTCGTGGGCACTGAATAATGCGGAAAGCATCATCGATTGGAGTTATCGAGCCCTACATGGCTCGGTCAACCTGGCCAAGCAGATCGTTTCGGCTTACTACAGCGACGACAAAACCACCGCAGCATCTATCAAACATTCGTACTACACCGGATGTGCCACTGGTGGTCGCCAGGGTTTGCGGTCACTTCAATTGTATCCCAACGATTTCGATGGTGTCCTAATCGGCGATGCCGCTTGGCAGACCACTCACCTTCAGTCATGGTCGACTTGGGTGCCGTTTGAGAACTATCCCCCAGAGTCTCCGTATCATATCACTGAAGCTCTATTCACCTCGCTCACGACGGAAATCACGAAGGTATGTGACAGCCAAGATGGTGTCACAGACTCGATCATGCAAGATCCCGCTAGTTGCAGAATAGATTACACTACGCTTCTCTGTTCATCTCCGTCCACAAGTCAGACTGCTTGCGTTACTGAGTCTCAACTTGCTACTCTACAGAAGATGTTTTCTCCCTATACGATCAACAACACGATCGTATTCCAGGGCTTGCCCTTTGGAGCTGACCCCTCCATACTTGCATCGGGAGCCAATTCTATAGGATATGGATACTTCCAGGATTTCGTCTACAATGATACCGCATATAGTTTTACATCATATTCCGATGATAACTTTCTTACCGCGGTTCGTATTAACCCGGGCCGTGCGACAGCCGATGATTTCGACATCTCAGGCTTTAGAGAAAGAGGGGGCAAGATTATCATGTACCATGGCTATGCCGACCCCCTGATTCCAGCAGAATCAAGTATCGAGTACGTTAACCGGACGCTTGAGGCTATGAATCTTGAAGAATCACAATTGTTTTCATTCCTACGACTTTTCCTCATCCCAGGAATGAACCACTGTGTATCCAGCGCACCAACTCAGCCAGATGCGCCGTGGTATATAGCAGCAGCGTCGCAGATAGCAGGCATAGCCGGCAGGTTGACCGGCGTGAGTAATGTTACGCATTCCGTGCCTGGACACATGGATGCAAAGCATGACTCTGTGCTGGCGCTGATGAAATGGGTGGAAGAAGGAGCACCGCCAGACGAACTCATTGCTACGAAGTTTGTGAATGAGACGGCGCCGACTGTCGAAAGTCAGAGAACATTATGTCCATGGCCGAGGGTGGCGAGGTTCACTCAAGGTGATCGAAACCTTGCTAAAAATTGGATCTGTAATTAATCAAAATGCTGCTAAGGATAATGAGCTAATGTATCCCAATGAGAATATAATGGTCATGTGAACATAGACATTCCACCGAGGTTATATGATACTCTTAAGTAGTTGTTAGTCACTCGAAAGCCTTAACTTGAGGATAGATTGATGAATTGGCCTGATTTTACAACTGTCTATCCTCCATGTGAAATATTTGGTGATTTGGCGAGAGCGAAACGGAGCGCCGCTGGAAGTCTTCAAGGGGGTATTTGATTAGATGTCAGTGACCCCTATAATTTATTCTCTTATCTATGCATGGCGACGATCTATAAATCTAAAAGGACTAAGGTTCAAACTTAGGGGAAAATGTCGTGATATTCCCGAGGCGATTTGCATCATGTTGTCAGAGTACTCCAAGAGCTTTCAAGTTGAAGTTAGATCCTTCCCGATGCCTTGATATCCTTATCTCCGAGACTGACACCGATTGGTCTACTCGGAAACTCCAAGCGATGATTGGCTATTACCAGGATTAAAGCGCTCCTCACGAAAGCAGTATGGAAACCAGTCAACATGGTCGCATGATTACATGTTGATATAGCCTCCTCATTTAGGTACTGCCAAATTACCCAAAAGTATGGCATACGCTGTAGGGATCTGTTACATGTGTGATCCTGGATAGTTGGGACGGCCTTCAAGGGAATCCGAGACCCCGATGAAGAAGCATTCAAAAAGCTGTCACGGTACTGCTCTGTCTTGAATCAAAGACGTTATTAGCAGACATTCCAGGTTTATTTTCAGGGCTCTTCAGTAACAAATCATATTCATAACATAGCCGATTCATTCTATAGCCACATCAGTGGGACCCTAACAGAAATATTCTGACCCTACTTCGCCATCCAACGTTCTTTCCAGGCCCAATCAAATCTTCTCATAGGTTTTTTCTTACCCAAATTTTAAACTCCCGAGCCATTTACTTCGAACTTGGATCGCAATGGGGCACTTTTCAAGCATGTGGACACAATTCTTCCCGCCAAAGCCAACATTTACTGAGGAAAACGTGCCTGATCTTATGAATAGGGCAAGTCCATTGAAAGCGCCGAGTAGTGTTGTATATCAGTGATATAGCTAATAGTGTTTCAAACAGGTTTATCTTGTCACTGGCGCAAACACTGGTGTGGGGAAGCAGCTGGCCCGGCTTCTATATTCCAAGAATGCCAAGGTCTACGTTGCCGCCCGCTCAGAGGCTAAGGCAAACGAAGCCATCCAAGATATCCAGAAGAGTCATCCAGCCTCGAGTGGTGCCTTGATCTTCCTTCACATTGACCTCAATGACCTATCTTCCGTCAAGGCATCCGCGGAAAATTTCTTGTCTATGGAGACCAAGCTTCACGTACTATTCAACAACGCTGGAGTTCAGAATTTGAACAAGGGCCCGAATACAGTCCAAGGCTACGAACATCACTTGGGTATCAACACTATAGCGCCATTCTTATTCACCAAGCTTCTCACGCCCATCCTCGCTAGAACCGCTCAGGCCGAGGCATCGACACCAGGTTCCGTGCGAGTGATCTGGGTCAGTTCGCAGGGTACCGAGCTGAGTGGAATGAAGTCTGTCGGCCTCGACATTGGTAATTTGGACTATCATGATGACGCAAGTGACCTGACGAAATATGCCTTGAGCAAAGTCGGCAACTGGATGCACGGTGTGGAATATGCTAAACGACACAAAGCAGACGGTATCATCAGCATTCCACTCAACCCGGGCAATCTTACATCCGACCTCTATCGCGAGAACAAAGAGTTTGGTCTTAGGCTAGCAATAAAATTAATGGGACATCCTGC